AAAATTGCGCCCACATTTTCAAAGTTAACACACATCTCTCTTAACAATGGTGGTTTTTGCATCTTTACTGTTCCCCTGCTTCAGCTCTCTCCCCCCTCCCCCTGCACAGCGGCCGCAAACTCTCTGGTGTGCCTGCAGGCGAAACGCCTTACGGTCCTGCAAGGGACTGAGGTTTGAAAGAGATCTGAATTATATCAAGCTTATAATTTATTGCCATAGAAAGTGAAAAACATGTAGTGGGATAAATCTGCTGAAATTTTCCTTTTCAAACACTTTGTTTTGTTTTCTTGTTTTTTATTTAACTTGTTTTCTGTCCTTTGTTTATTATCTTCCTGCATCTCCTCTCAATCCTAAAGAAAAACTGCTTCCTGGCTTCATAGTTTTTCACCTCATGAGTTAACTTTGAACTGCAGTTCAAAAAGATCTACTGACCACAAAAATAGTGGAGTGCGCACTGTGCCCCGGCCGCACCAGAGCGGTGAGGTCACCAGATGACAAAACAGATGAAGTGCTCTGCTCCGCAGCAGCAAAACCCATCAGACACAACGATCAGAGCTCTGCACCTCAGCTCAAAATAATCCCCAGAGACTCCACGTAGACAATGTAATATAAGTAGAACCAGGATCCCTTTGGCTCACCCGCTATTCGAACCCTGCGTATTGCACAGGTTGGTTGCGTGAGTTGCCGAACCTAGCAGACAGTTGCCGGAACGGTCCTTTCAAAATAAGACAGTGCTCGGATCTTGTTCCCTTAAGATCCGGCTATAAATACCCCCCGCTATTATAACGATAACACTATAATAACTGGTCATATTTATGAAGTAGAATAGTGGTTACATTTCGGTTTTCTCGTGAAAATATTTAACACATTTAGTTTTATTACAGTAAAGTATGATACTTCTGTTCAAGGTTATCCCACTGTGCATGAATGTAATTTTCACTTTAGAAGTGAGGGGGACAACTGGCATGAGGACTGGGGGGGGGGGATCCTTACAGTATGTCCTGATGGGAAACAGGCTTCAACACAAGCAGTTGTTTTCCGCTTGGTCCCAGAGCTCAACCAGTGTCTATTTAATATAGCATAATATTGTTTTTGGACGGTAAAAAGTGCAGGGGTCAAAACTTGACCTTGGAAAAAGTGTGTGTGTGTGGGGGTGGGGTGAGAAAGAAAGCTCACACACCTCGTAAGTGCTTCAAACTGGTATCTTTGAATGTGTTGGGCAGCAGAAGTGGGCAGATAGATTAGCAGTCTGGTGAAATGAGGTCACCTACTGTTTTAGCTCTGAACAGACGAGGTGTCCTGAGTGCTGTCTGCCAGTCTCTACACACAGAACTGTCACCATTCACCACTTGACCTTTCAAAGCCCTGCTGATAGTGCTCCCTCTGGCTAAAATCAATTACCACAGGCCACCATGATATTAAATGAAGAAAGGTTGTGATCTTAGCGTGTGAGCGCTCACATGTGGATTTCTAAGGCTCCTTTGGTCCATGTCACTGAATCTATACAGATCATTTCGTCAGACAAGCTAACGGATTGTCTGACAGCATTGTTCCTGGCTTTTCTCAACAAAGCACAACCATGAATTCTCCTCCTTGGTGGCTATCCAGTGCCTCTGGGAGGTGAGTCATCACACCTCTGTTCAAAGCTATGCACTAGAATGAACAAACAAAAAGAAACACGTTGAGAACAACAATCGGAACATAAAGAGACAAAAGCTTGAACATGAAGATAAGTTGGATTGTTTTTATTCGCTGCTACACAAGCTGCCTGTGTTAATGAGCTGGTAATAATAATAAAGATGGACAAAAGTGTTAGGTGCTCACTGATGTTTAGACCTATAGTCCGTTTAGAGGTGAGCACCGGGTAGAGCAGCGCCATTCAGACCAGCCTGCTCATTAGTTGTCTAATTTCATCAAACCCGATTAATCAATCAGACTTACTTCCCTTTTTCTTCCGTGACCTCAGCTTTAAATAATGGCCGACCTCATTGAGTCTGTCATCGGGGTTGTGAATCTAAACCATCAGTTACTGATTCCTGGTCCTTCTTAATCCATCATGCAGCCTTAAGAGTGTGTGTGTGTGTGTGTGTGTGTGTGTGTGTGTGTGTGTGTGTGTGTGTGTGTGTGTGTGTGTGTGTGTGTGTGTGTGTGTGTGTGTGTGTGTGTGTGTGTGTGTGTGTGTGTGTGTGTGTGTGTGTGTGTGTGGAGAACAACCTGATGCCTTTCCCCCCTCTAATACAGTCTGTGTGTAACTGAAGTGGGTCTCGTGGGACAAATATTCAGCAACCCCTTCCAGCTTTCCTCCTTACTCAATTGTGTGTTCAATTTCAGATGACATGACATTTGAAAGTGAAGTAAAATGAGTTTCTTCAGTGGTACCAATTACCACAGCTGACATCCTAGTTTACCAGTGGCCAGGGCTGTGGGGAATCCGAGAACGATCTGGGAGTTAAATCATGGGTATAAAGAGTATTAAAGCACTGTCAGTCACGCAGAAGCATAAAGTCCTCACGCAAGGAGCTTCGATGCAAAGGAAATTCACATGAGAGGGATGTGAAAAGCAGCAAGAACAGCTACATCAACCCTCACCCTGACCAACCTTGATGTTTCATCTAAACATGAAACATGTGAAGTGCTCCACGGGGACAACCTGATTATTTCACCACTACATCACAACATCAGCATCCTTGCACAAACAACAGTATTTGCTGTGAAAACCATCAGTTGTCACGCACCAGCAGATGTAGCATCTTTAGATGGAAAACAAGTCATACAGAGATGCGTCAGTCTGGATAGCCTGAACAGTAGTATTGAGTTTTCCTAATATCTACGTGTTCTTTTTAATAAGCAACAGAGTTTGGGATCGAACAGCATTTAGGGTAATTCTCTGTCTTTATACAACCATGTCCACAAAAGTGCATGGATCTGAGTGCAAGTTAAGAACAACTCACATAGTACATGTGACTACTAGGCTTGGGTGCTATTACCGTATACAGCCAGTGTTTAAAAGTAGCATCTCTGTCTGTGTCAGTACCGTCATGTAAAAATGCAGTGCGCTCAGAAGATAAGGATTAGATATAAAAAATGCATTTATTGTGTCAAATTGATTTGTGGATGAATTTTACTTTTTGCCTAAAATAGTTTAATACGTTTTTGCCAACTTTTAGAGACGCTCCATAGAGTTTGTGAACATAATGTCATGATGTGACAGCGCTGAGGAAAGAGAGACAGGGAGAAGATGGCAGGTCGCACTACCTTACTTGGTGTCAACAAAGAACACAACTTCTATTTGGGACTATTTCGGGTTCCAAGCAAACAATAAAGGAGAGCTGGTAAACACTGATGAGGCAATTTGTAAATTGTGCAAAAAAATTAAAAATTAAATAGGTGACGGCAAGAGATACATGTCCTGCTGGCATCGCAGGGGAACAAGCCGAAGCAGAAACAACTGCCTGTTTGGAGCCTGTGATTCAAGGAGACGATGAATCACTTCTCTGGTGGAAATATGCTGCCAGGCGTCTCCCCCAGATATCACGACTGGCCTGAAAGCCTGTGTGTCCGTGCCACAAGCTCACAACCGGAGCAGGTTTTCAGCACCGCAGGAACGGTAGTCGGTCCATAGCGTGCAATGTTAAAGCGGAAAAGTAAACATGCTGGTTTGTCTAGCAAAAAAAGTTTTTATAAGCTGTGTTTGTTTAAATAAAAGAGGTTAATTTGATGTGTGTTATGTTGTTTCTGTTTCAGTATTAGTGTCTGCTATTAAGTCTCTGAACAGTGAAGGTCCAAGACAACAGATTGGTAATGCCACTGTTTTAATTAGTCATGGTAACACTGTACACCATGGTGAAATGTGGAGGAAGTTTGATGGTATCAAAATTTGGACAAGCATAATCACTACTTAGTTAATTAATTAATTAACAATATTCAAAGTATATTGGATAGCTGCAGCCATATTTGTTTTGTGCAATTACTGGGAGAAAGAAAGTTACACACGGACACTATGGTAAATGGCCTGTATCTGATATTGGGTCTTCTAGGGTTCTACAGCACCCTAGAAGACCCAATGCTGTAGCTCTCATATGTTGTTCCAGTGACGCAGCATTCCTACCATTGGGGAGAAGAGGACACCTCTCTGTTATGTTCTGTCTCATACACAGTAGATTTCCATTACTGCAAGAATAGAGCTGACAACTTCACTTTCTCTGGCAATACTCTTCAATAATCCTCTTTATTTTCTTTTATGAGACCTATTTGGCAGCATGCCACTAAAAATTGAACACTGGCCCTGCCTGTTTATGAAATGAGATGTGCAGGCAAAGATGAGCAAATGTAGTCCAGACAGTTCCAGGTTTGTAAGTGTTGCTGTATAAATAATACATGAGGCTGTCTCATTTACCGCAATCAAAGAAAATGCATTACGCTCAGCAGGTGCTTCAAACAAATTGTGCTGTGTAAGACATGTGTATGGCCAAATGGTTTCATCAACGACAGGATCAAAACGAGAAGTAAAAAGAGAGACATGTGCACGAGAAATGAAGCGACCATCAGAGATAAGGGATTTGATTTGGTCTGACCATTGGGGTTACGAACAAAGTTTTCCTAAACAGCAGAAAGTTGCCCTCCAGATGCTTGCAGGAGCTAGAACAAAGTCCAAATCCAACAAGGACTTTTTCAGAGACCAGTGGGTGAACGGAGAAGAGTAAGACATAGCTCAAAAGCAGATTATTGCACAACATCCAGGACAGCGAGTTCAAACAACAAGAACATGTTTCCCAAATCACAGGAGAATTAAACAGACACGGAACTCCAACAGTCATAAAAGTAATAATTGTGAGCAAATATAACCATGAAATGAGCTCGCTCATGTGAACGAAGAGGGGAGGAGGGAGGAGGGATGATGTCGCTGCGAAAGGAGAAGCAGGGAGGAAGCCACATGGTAGCACAAGATGGTGGTTGAAAAATCTCAAGCCATCGCCGGCCAGCGTGCTGGCATCTTTTACCTGCATCACCATTTGCTGCCATGCCAGTGGTTGGCTGGTGGTGGGGTTGGGAGGCAGATTGGCTCGCTCAAGCTGCAGGGTGACGTTGCGCCGCTCCTCCTCCAGGGCCCGGGTCAGCTGCTCAAAGCGCGCCTCCTGCTCCTTCACTGAGGCCAGGATGCTGGCAGCTGAGCGAACGTCATAGTCCTCCATGTGTGGTTTTGGCTGAGGTTGGACAGATCTTCCAAGTCAGGAAGGGAGGAAAGAGAAGGAGGGGAAGGAGGGGCACCAGGTCATTAAAGACACCCAGACCTGACAGGCCGGATGAATGGGATGAGGCAGAATGAGTCAAATTTAGGAATTATTCACTGGCCAAGATGGAAAAATGACTGGCATCTAGCACCAGTTCCAAATGACTGTTATGACCAACTTCATACATATCAGGGGGAAAATAAACTAAATTAGTTTTTTTTTCTAACAAAGTTATTTATCTCTGGCTGTAGTCTGAATGCCAAAACCCTGGAAGGACATGAATAAATTCTTCCCAAAGGGCGACTAGACGAGGAAGCCACTGTTACTCGACTCCATCATGGCAAATACATGAATAAGGAAGCTTAGCTGGATGCCGATGGTGTGTTTACTTTCAGGAGTTTCAGTTTGTTTTGTAATCAAAACAATCTTGGTAAAACCAATTACATCCAACGTAGTTTTTGCCAAAACATCAGCGAAGCAAATTGACGTCAAAATCCACCAATTCCAAAAACAACAAAGGAAATCGAAATGCAAGCAGCAGATCCAAAAAACAAATGTTCTTGTTTTTATTTTATTTTCTTTGGCAATCTAAAAGTGTTAAAGTAATGCTACAGCCCTAAATGAAAAATCAAATCCAGCACCGGAGAGAAGCTCTGCCATTGGATACAGTCATGCACAGATCTATAGGCACCCTGATATACAAACACTTGTACATTCAACACATGCAGGAGTCTTAAAGGATCACACACACACACACACACACACACACACACACACACACGGACGCACGCACGCTGATATCCAGAACCAGCGGTTGCACAATATCAAGGTGCCGATGGCACACAAAAAATACGATAACACAACAATATGGACCAAGCAGATAAGCAGGCAGAGAGGTGTTAAAAACAATCACCCCAATTGTAATAAAGCCAAGGGATGAAACGACATAAATGGAGAGCTGGAAGAAAAAGAGAGGAAAGAAAAACAAAGGGAGGGAAAAAGAGAAACAAGAAAACATTAGCTAAATGAAAAGAAAGAGATAGCATGTGGTGCTTCTAATTGGCTCGTGTTTTGATTGAGGTACACTGAAACATAATGAAGAGACGCAGAAATAAAACATCTGTGTTCCTCAGGTATTTTGAACCATCAGCCATCTCCAGTGTATCCTCAACAGTTATGAAAAAGATCAGTTTGAGGTCTCTGTGTTCTCAGATCATTTGTTAACTTAGAACCAGACCAAAAAAAAAAATGCAAGAAAAGAAGACAACAGTTTTTTTGTGGTTTTCATTAAGGCTCTAAGTCATTTTCTACCCTTTTCTGTGTAAACATCTGTGCAGCTAATGAGTCAACACAGCTACTAGGGAAAGCTAATGTGGAAGCCTTTTATCAGATGCCAACACAGTTTAAAGAAGAAAAGAACAATTATCTCCCACCCATTAATTGGCACTTTGGCCTCTCTACATAAACACCATTAGCCCTCTCAGGCTCAAAATAAGTTTTGATCAAAGGACGAACAACCAAGTCCTTCAGGGGAACTTCTGAGTTTAAAAATGCTCATGAAATACGTATGTGGAGTAACCAGGTAGGCAGGTTTTAACTGTTGCAAATCTGCAACGCCTGCCTCCAGAGGGTTAATAATGCTGTTTCAGAGCTGACATGATTATAGGAGACACGGGGTGTCCACAAATAGCAACACTGTGACTTTGAACTGAATTGCAAAGTTAATGCAGGAATAATTTGACATTTTTAGTACAATTGTATATGAAGGAAGTATTTCCTGTAAATCCTTCTGCTGTCTTTCTTGCGGCTGTAACATTTGTTTGCGTGCTTTAGAAGCCTGTGAGTATACATGCACCAAGCATTCAGTCAGATTCAAGGTTGAGCATGCGCAGAGTTGTCTTTCCCAGAGAATAAAAAGTAAACAAACGCCATCGTGTCCGCACGTCTTTCCCCATGCCTTTTACTTTCTTATTCTCTAGCTTTGTCTGTTGACTTACGTTTTTCCCCCATTATGGACCACTCCTGTTTACCTCCCGCCATGTTTTTGACTTGTCCTGAGCGTCTGCAAAGGCGGAAAGATGTCACGCTGAAGTTGCACATAAGTAGTGGGCATTATTTTACCCCAACAATCCAAATGAGAGTGTGCATGAACGTCAATCGGAATGATGACTAGACAAATCCACCGCTCTCAATCAGAATGACATTTCCGATCAGGCCGTATCGGATCAGAATATTCTGACTGACATGTTTACATGAGGAGTTTTTTACCTGATATGACTGATTGACACATAATGACGTTAAAGCCTAGTTTATGTTTATGTTTGTGTTTCTGCTTCTGCGTCGGTGCCGAGACATTTGTGGATGGAAGTGACGGGAAAAGTGGGTTTAGCGTGGCGAGCGCATGAAGAGGTGAAGGAGAATGAGGGACTAATTTGTCCATGTCAAAAAATATCTGAAACACAAAAAGCACAAAAAACACAATTTAAACACGGATACATGACAGGACACCCCAGAACAGCGCTACGCCCTCTGTTGTCTTGGCAGGAATCACTTTGTAACGCTCCTCAGGAGACGGAGAAGTCAGAGAGAAAAACATCTCTGTTAATGCATGTGCATCTCTCCCTCGTGGAGCTGATGCACAAACATAAACTAGGCTTCATCCATCCATCCATTTTCATCCGCTTATCCAGAATCGGGTCGCGGGGGCAGTAGCCTAAGGCAAAAGGCCCAGACTTCCCTCTCCCCAGCCACTGGGGCCAGCTCCTCCAGGGGAATCCCAAGGCATTCCCTGGCCAGGTGAGAGACATAATCCCTCCAACGTGTCCTGGGTCTGCCTTTAGGTCTCCTCCCGGTTGGATGTGCCCAAAAAACCTCACCAGGGAGGCGTCCAGCAGCCATCCTGACAAGATGCCCAAGCCACCTAATCTGGCTCTTCTCGATGTGGAGGAGCAGCGGGTCTACTCCGAACCCCTCCCGAATGACCGAGCTTCTCACCCTATCTGTAAGGGGGAGCCCATTCACTCTTCGGAGAAAACTCATTTCGGCCACTTGTATCCGCGATCTCGTTCTTTCGGTCACTACCCAAAGCTCATGACCATAGGTGAAGGTAGGAACGTAGATGACTGGTAAATCGAGAGCTTCACCTTCTGACTCAGCTCTCTCTTCACCACGACAGACTGGTGCAACGCCCACATCACTGCAGATGCAGCACCAATCCGCCTATCGATCTCACGCTCCAGTTTTCCCTCACTCGTGAACAAGACCCTGAGATACTTAAACTTCTCCACTTGGGGCAGGAGCTCATCCCTGACATGGAGAAGGCATTCTATCCTTTTCCGAATCAAGACCATGGTCTCATATTTAGAGGAGCTGATTCACATCCCAGCTGCTTCACACTCGGCTGCGAACCGCTCCAGCGAAAGCTGAAGATCATGTTCTGATGAAGCCAACAGGACCACATCATCAGCAAAAAGCAGAGGCCCGATCCTCAGGCCACCAAAACTGATGCCCTCCACACCTTGGCTGCGCCTAGAAATCCTGTCCATAAAAGTTATGAACAGAATCTGTGACAAAGGGCAGCCTTGGCGGAGTCTATCTCTCACTGGGAACAAGCCCGACTTATTGCCGGCAATGCGGACCAAGCTCTGACACCGGTCATACAGGGACCTAACAGCCCGTATCAGAGGGCCTGGTACCCCATACTCCCGGAGTACCCTCCACAGGGCCCCCAGAGGGACGTGGTCAAACGCCTTATCCAAATCTACAAAACACATGTAGACTGGTTGGGCAAATTCCCACGCTCCCTCCAGGATCCCCCTAAGGGTAAAGAGCTGGTCCAGTGTTCCACGGCCAGGACGAAAACCACATTGCTCCTCCTGAATCTGAGGTTCAACAATCCGATGGACCCTCCTCTCCAGAACCCATGAATAGACCTTACCAGGAAGGCTCAGGAGTGTGATCCCCCTGTAGTTGGAACACACCCTGCAGTCCCCTTTTTTAAATACGGGGACCACCACCCGGGTCTGCCAGTCCAGTGGGACTGCCCCCGATGTCCACGCGATATTGCAGAGCCGCGTCAGCCAACACAGCCCCATAACATCCAGAGCCTTAAGGAACTCCAGGCGGATCTCATCCACCCCTGGAGCCTTGCCACAGAGGAGCTTTTTAACCACCTCAGTGACCTCAGCACCAGAGATTTGAGAGGCCAACCCAAAATCCCCAGACTCTGCTTCCTCACTGGAAGACATGTTGGTGGGATTGAGGAGGTGTCACGTTTTGGAGGGATGTTAGAACCCAAAATGCAGATCCCAGGATGACATGAGGCAGGAGTGGATAAGAAGAAAAAAAATCCTTTTACTGTAGGATAAACAGAATTAAATTTTTAAAAAAGGCAGGGAGCCAAAATCCAAAAATCCAGAACATGAGAACCAAAGCCCACCTAGAACACAAACTGGGGACGGGACAGGAAGCTCACACAACACTGAACATACAACAATGGGCCGACAAGACACTGAGACAAGACAGGGCTTAAATAAACTGGGGCATAATGGGAGGCAGATGAACTGCAGGAATGTGGGGAGAGGACCAGGTGAAAGCAATACTTAATCAGGGAGGGAACTCACATGACCTAAGAAAAAACCTAAAAACAAGAAAAGCAACCACATAACTAATATTCTAAAGGGAAGGTGAACTACAAAGACTGGTGGGACAAAACAAATAAAAGAGACAAATAAAGTGAAAAGCTGAAACTATAAACACTGCAGAGGGGTGACTGGAGAAGACTAAAGGAACACAGGACCTGAGAGATATATTTGGAAGGCTGAAGACCAGGGGACAAATGAGGAACACAAAGAGACACATAAATGAGACGCAGGCAAAGGACACATGAGAGTGCTATGAAACACAAAAGGAGAACCTGGATTGGGAACTGGAGGGGCTGGGGAACAAAGGGACACAGAACATGACAGGAGGTCTTCGAAGTGTTCTGCC